TCTTGGCAGGTGACGTCATCCCTTGGGTATTTAAGAACCCACGATCGCAGTTTTAGATCACCCCTGATGAAGACACTAGACTGGAGTGTCGAAACGTTGGGTCTTGATTACAATTCGACTGGGCTTTGTAATCATTTATTTAAACCAGAGTAGCGAGCGAAACATGAATAATAAAAATGTTTTCATAATTCTCGGTTCATACCTGTAAAAACAAATGTGCGGTGGAGGATTTAAATCTTTTATGACCTCCATTTCTTCCATGCATCCAAGCAATGATTCCCTGCCTAAGTCGCTGTAGTAGAAGCTGAGCTGGCTCGTAATGCTGGGCCAGTTTCTCATTTGCTTCGTATGATTTGGGCTAACTCGACAAGCACTAGTAAAATCGTCCCGTGTGATATTGGTAGGGGAAAAAATTTGTGGTTATTTTGTATATTTTTTTCCCTGGCAACAACTTCAGGACACGAAATCGAAACCAATATGATTCGCTAATTTACTTATTATTAGTTTGAAATAAATATTTAATTCATTGCGCAGTCTAAATTACTTGATGAAGCTAGCTGGCAGTGTATCTGATATCAAAGAATATTTCACGTAAGTTGGAAATTAAAATTTATTTTTTTGTAAAAAATGTTTAACTTTGGGTCCATGTGATCTCCAGTGCGGTAAAGATCAGAAAATAATGGGGGTTGAAATGTTGAAATACACTCATCAACTTAAAAAAAACAACATGCCATCACTGGTAAGGATAGGGGTGCAATGGATTGCACTCCTTGGGCCTGTTAGCCCGGCGTGTGATAACGTGTGATCATTTTTCAGTTTTAATTCCTACTTATTGGAAGACTGGAACTAATTATGTAGAGATTTTTTAATAAATTATAGTGAGCGAAAATCGGAGTGCTGCTGTGCCGGCGATAAAAGTGACATGCCTTCTATAGCGCCTATGATGATACATGTTATTGTGTCACGAACATAAAATATTCTCTATACAGTTAGACTATTGTGTTGGACAATACATTGTAATATAATTGTACTCCATCATTTTTAATGAAATAAATTATGTCAGTGTGAGGGTATTATAAATATACTTTGCATTGCAGCCTAATCGAGGCGTGCAATAAGCTCAGGCGTGTGCCAACTGAGGCGTACGAGTGCAATCGGAAGCCCATGAAGACCCTTCGTACGTCCGAAACCCACTAGAAACTGCTACAACTGCTAGGAAAGGCTGTATGTCAGTCAGAGGCGCAGGAAGAAAGCCAGGGAAGCGGAAATGGGCACTTTCACCTTTAAATTACCTTTGAAACAAGCCCAATAATTCTAAATCAGTACACAGTTAGAATCCACTAAACTGCCCTCACTGTATCTATAATTACTAGACACACTGTATCTGTTACTAGAAGATACATACTGAGCAGCAACAGACGTTTGTTAATAAAAAAATGTCATGCATGCCAATAGAAAATGGCTAACATCATGCATTTTGCCTGCTTATGTGCCGTAATATAATTATTAATAAACAATTATTGGATGAGGCTAGGCATGAAATTAAACAGCAATTGGGTGACTGAGGTTCTTATCATATCCGAAATTATCAAGGCCAATGTGATCAAGTGTCACTACAGCTACATCGAAGAAATGTAGTCAGCTACACCTAGTGCTAGTTGACAAGAAATGGAGTTTGGGTAATGGTCGAGTGTCGAGGGTCAAAAGTCGAGGTCGAGGGTCAAATGTCGAGGTCGAGGGAGAAAAGTCGAGGGTCGAAAGTCGAAAATACTAAATTTTATCCATTTTAAAAGTTTTACAACCATTAAACGCGGCAAAACAATTATTTTGCTGTCAAAATTGAAACATTTCGCCTATGGCTATGCCGTATGGCTATGTACTGTATAACTGAAAGTTTCGCTTGTGGAAACGGACGATTATACAAAAATGGCGTATCACTCTCATGAGAAATTTGATTATAGGTATAAATATGTTATCTCTTGGAGGCGAGAGAGTTCTGAAATTCTCAGTACTTCAACTTAACGATACTCGTCATACCGCGTATGGTTTTGGAGGTTTAAAGCGTTAAGGTGTGCGAGAAACACTTGATATTTATATATTTTATAACATCATGTCTGCACCGGAAGTGCACATGTTCGATTGACAGTTTCATATTCATAATATAGTTGGGAGAACGTTGTAGTGTAGTGAAATGGAAACTTTCTTTAGTTATTCTGTCAAAAATAACATGCACGAAGCACGAATCTTTATAATAGAGTGATTTTAGTCTGGTTCAGAATTATCTCACAACCATTGTGAGAGATTTTTGCTGCGCTGGGACTCGATTCGTTCTGATAGTACAATAAATACAATATACTTTCGAATCACCCCACCGGCACCGTACGTTCTCGAATAGTTTTAGTAATTTTACACTTTCTCGAAAAACAAAAAGGAACCTAATTATGCCCTAAGGCATGTTCTGGACTAACAGTAACGAAGTTAGTTATCAGGAGAACCTTTAAAATTTTGACAACAAATGCCAAAAATGTAGAATTCTAAAAATGTATTAATAAAAAATTAATATTTCCCATTTTCGACCCTCGACGTTTGACCCTCGACCTCGACTTTGGACCCTCGGCTTTTGACCCTCGACCTCGACTTTCGAACCTCGACCTATGACCCTCGACCTATGTGTGATATATTGCGCATGCGCTTTGGGGGTTAGAGGAACATGTGCGAGAGCGATAAAGCAAAGGTTGTTATTCAGTTTTCTAAGGACATTAAAAGTTGAGTTTGAGTTGTATAACAGTGCATTTCTGAGGATATAACAATTGGCGACGAGCATGGGATTTCAATAAAGGATTCTGGTATATTTTCTTGCTGAACGAAAGAGTTTAAAACAGTAATTTAGTGGAATTTAGTTCTGTACGAGTAGAATTTAATAGTATGTCTTCGACGCCATTATTCGGCGTTCTGGGGGAATTTGATCCGTCTACCGAGTTGTTTACTGCTTATTCAGAGAGATTAGAGCAATATTTTATCGCTAATTCTATCGGGCAATGTGCTGCTGATGCTACACAAGAAATACTTGCGGCTGCCGACAAGAAAAAAGTCGCGGTATTTATTTCAGTTATTGGAAAGAAATCTTACGCAACCCTTCGTGATTTGTGCAGTCCTGATTCACCGAAAGATAAAAGTTTTTCTGAGCTTTGTGAAATGTTACGTACTCATTACAAACCGAAACGTTTGGTTGTAGCTGAAACTTATAGATTTCATCGGTGTATTCAAGAAGAAAATGAAAATGTTTCTGATTACAGTGCACGTTTGCGACACTATGCTTCCACTTGTGATTTTGGTCAGTTCCTAAACCGTTCTCTGGGTGATCAATTTATATGTGGAATTCGTAATTCAGCTACTCGGAAAAAGATACTGAATGAAGACCGTACTTTTCAAGATGTGTTAAAAGTGGCCATAGCTGATGAAGTTGCCAGTAAGGAGACTTTAGCATTTCAAAACAATACGAAACCAGTGAACGAATCTGTGCATGCTGTGGGTAGAAATCAAATTCCTGATAAGTTTTCAAATAGCAAGAATACATCAAATTTCAATAACCTAAGACCACCATTGCCTACCGCCCAGAAATTTTCATATGCCTGTTATTCCTGTGGAGGTACTGAACATTCTCGGGCCCAGTGTAGATTTAGAAATGTTGTATGCAGCCGATGTAAGCGGACTGGTCACATTGCTCGTGTTTGCAAGAGAGGTAACATGCAAAATAATTTTGTCGAACAGAAACTGAGTTCAGATGATGTGTTTCTTGAGGAAGAATTATTTACGGTTTTTGATGTTAACTCCCTATACAAATCAGAAATTTCCGTACCCTTGAAAATTGAGAATCAAGAGTGTTCCTTACAATTAGATACTGGTTGTGCATTGTCCTTGGCCACCCAAACCTTCTATGAGCAATTTTGTTCCCATATCCCTTTAAAACCTACCGCAGTGAGATTATCTACCTATACCGGTGAAAAGATTCAACCTTTGGGACAAATCAATGTTAATGTTACTTATGCTGGAACTCAGCACTCTCTTCCCTTACTGGTAGTACCACAGGGCTCTGGTGTCTTATTTCGAAGAAACTGGCTAAGGTGTATAAAGTTAGATTGGAACAATTTGCCTGGAATTGAGTTACCGTCATTTACTACCACAGCTACATGCTCCAAGATTTCTGAAAATAAGAATACATTGGACTCACTCCTATCAAAATATGATGAACTGTTTCAACCTCAACTTGGGTGTTACACTGGTGATGCTGTAGTTATCAATGAAAGTAAGGGAGCTAAATTCCATAAAGCACGTCCAGTTCCATATGCAATACAGACAAGAGTTGAAAGTGCTCTACTAAAAATGGAAAAAGATGGTGTCATCGAGAGGATTTCTTCTGCTGTTAGTGCTGCCCCTATTGTTACGGTGGGCAAAAAGGACGGTGATGAAGTTCGAGTTTGTGGTGATTTCAGTGTTACTTATAATGCATGTGCTGAAGTTGAGACTTATCCAATGCCTAAAATAGAAGATATGCATTCTGCATTGAGGGGCTGTCAAGTATTTAGTGTATTAGACTTGAAGCAAGCTTATCATCAAATTCCCATTTCAACTGGGTCTCAGAAGTATCTTACTATAAACACCCATTTGGGTCTCTTTGCTTTTAAAAGATTGCCTAACGGGATTCATTCAGGTCCTGCTATATTTCAGAGAATTATGGATGGATTATTAGCAGATATTCCGAAAGCTGTTAGCAGATTGGATGACATTCTCATTGCTGGAACTGATTATGAAGATCGTCTGAATACTTTGTCCCAAGTGCTAGAAAGATTGCTTAAGTTTGGTTTCAAGTTAAACAAATCTAAGTGCAAATTTCTCCAGTCTTCTGTGGTGTACCTAGGTCATCTAATCGATAGTGCTGGCCTCCATCCAACTGAAGACAAACTAGCAGCTGTGCGTGATGCCCCCCTCCAAAGGATGCTACGGCTCTTAAGTCTTTCCTAGGACTTATGATGTTTTACTCACGATTTATGCCACACCATTCCACTGTATTAGCACCACTGAATAATCTGCTTAAGAAGAATGTACCTTGGAAGTGGACTAAATCAGAAGACGCAGCTTTCACAGCAGCTAAAAATCTTTTACTAAATTCGAGAACACTAGTACATTATAATGAATCATTGCCTCTTGTTCTATCATGTGATGCTTCTTCTTATGGTGCAGGAGCAGTATTGTCACATGTCATTAATGGGAAACACCAACCGATAGCATTTGCATCATGTACATTAACTGAGGCCCAGCTTAAACGATTTCATCAATATCTCTGTGGTAATTCATTTACTATCCTAACTGATCATCGCCCACTCCTTACATTGTTGGGACCACATTCTTCTGTTCCAGCCCACACGGCTTCACGACTACAAAGATGGGCACTTACCCTAGCCTCATACCATTACAAGATTGAGTACCGAAGTACAACTGCACATGCTGACGCTGACAGCATGTCCCGTCTACCTTTACCGCAAACTTGGTGCCCTAAAAGTGAAAATGTAGAATGTTATTTCTTTGAAGCTGGTGTTGTTACTAATGTAACTGCTGAAATGATTAAGAAAAAGACACAAGTGGATCCTGTTCTTTCTTTAGTATATAGATACATACAAAGTGGTTGGCCCTCTGTAGTTGATGCTGATAGATTCCGTACAAAAACAGAAGTGATCAACTAACTATTTATCAAGGATGCATCCTTTGGGGAGCTCGGGTTGTTGTTCCTCCATCTCTTCGGAGTGCAATGCTAACCGAATTACATGACACCCATCCGGGCATGACAAGAATGAAAGGGCTTGCGAGGTCTTATGTCTGGTGGCCAAAGATTGATTCTGACATTGAGCAGACTGTGTCCACTTGCCCTGTTTGCCAGAAAATGCGATCAGAGCCAGCAAAAGCGCCAGTACATCCCTGGACTTTTCCATCACAGCCTTGATCTCGCATTCATATCGACTTTGCTGGGCCTATTGCTGGGAAAATGTATCTGGTGGTAGTTGACGCTTACAGTAAGTTTCCAGAAGTTGTTAAAATGACTACTACAACAGCTACGACTACTATAAATGCACTGCGAGATATCTTTAGCCGCCATGGTCTTCCGGAAATATTAGTTTCCGATAACGGACTGCAATTCATTGCCGGCGAGTTTCAACAGTTCTGCCGTAACAACGGAATTATGCATCGAACTTCTGCAGCCTACAAACCTTCAACGAACGGTCAAGCTGAACGAGTTGCTCAAATTTTGAAATCGGCGATTGAGCAAGCTCGAATTACTAAACAGGATGTGAACGTGGTTATTGCTAAGAGCTTACTAGTGTATCGTAATGCACCACATTCTACAACGGGTGCGGCACCTTCAGTTTTACTTATGGGCAGACGTCTGCGAACCCGACTTGATCTAGTCTTTCCTTCCGTTCAGGAACATGTGAAGCAAAAGCAATATAAAGTCCTTGAACGTTCTGCGAATCTAAACGTGCGATCCTTTGTTGAAAGGGAAAATGTCTTAGCACGTAATTATCAAGGGAAAGAGAAATGGATTCCTGGAGTGGTCACTAAAGTTCTTGGTTCAAGGCATTACATGGTTAGAGTACCTGGATATCTGTGGAAACGACATGTAGATCAGTTAGTCAAATACAATCCGCAGATTGAACCAGAAAACGATTGGGATGAAGTTGAGATCTCTTCGGAAAAGAGTGGGACACCGGAAGCAGAACAATTATCTGAAAATTCGAACAGATATGGAAACACCTCGGGTACTAGTAGCAATGATTCTGTAGAAAAGAACGATAATGAAAACTCTGTTACTGATAATTCAAGTGCGAATAACTCAGGTTCCGCCGAAAAACGTTATCCGTTAAGAGCTAATCGAGGAAGAACAGATCATTAACTTTAAAGAACTTTTACGTTATTAGCGTTAACAATTTATAGTTAATTTAATCGTTATGAACAGAGACTTTTGTTAGAAAGGGAAATGTGATATATTGCGCATGCGCTTTGGGGGTTAGAGGAACATGTGCGAGAGCGATAAAGCAAAGGTTGTTATTCAGTTTTCTAAGGACATTAAAAGTTGAGTTTGAGTTGTATAACAGTGCATTTCTGAGGATATAACACTATCACCCTCGACATATGACCCTCGACCCTCGACCATTACCCAAATTCCAAGAAATGTAGTCCGCTACTGCCGACTATAGCTATAGTGTTTAAAAAATGTAGCAAACTATTCGCTAATGTACGTAAATGGTTTATGTATTAATGTATTAATGTACGTAAATGATTTATTAAACTCTTTGTAGTTACAAAAAAACTAAATTGACGAGTTTATAAAATTACACTCCAATATTATCTACATCAAATACTTAAACCACATAAAAAGTAATATTAATGTTAATATAGTAAAACCCATCTTTGATCAAGCATATAAGAAAGAAAGTTAAAAGCATTTAAAGGTAAAAAATTATTCCGTTCTCTTAGTCCGACAAAATTTACGATTTCTATATTAATATCTTCTGATTTAAAGGGAAATAGCAATATATTTTTTTATTTTTTCGTCTGAAAGAACATTTAAAACAATATATAAAACTCTTTTACCGTTTTTTCATATCTTGCTTACTTCTACAAATATTTTAATCGAAAGAAATGAAATGTCCGCCATCTTGGATTTTTGTAGATATGCATGTTACGTCACAACAGGGATCACGCAATATTTTTATCTAGACAACCACTAATCATTTTGCACTCAAAATTATACTCTGTATGCCCTTGGAAATATCAAGATCACCTGAAACCTTTAAAACATCTACCAATCAATATTTGGTCAGTAACGAATACTTTTATATGGTTAATCCCTGTTGTGACGTCACCAAAACTACCGTTAATGAGATCAAAAATTTATCCAAGATAGCGGACATCTCATTATTTCAAGTGAAAATGTTTCTATAAGTAAGCAAGATATGAAGAATCGATAACGGAAGTTATTAAATAGTTTCAAAAGTTCTTTCAAATGAGAAAATAAAAAATATATTACCATTTCCCTTTAATTCGCAAATGCCAGTCAGTCAACAGACTATATTTTGTCATTACATGGACAAGAAACATACTTCGTTCCTTGGGGTATACCCCCTTTTAGATACTTCCAATCAGATACGGTAATCCAACTATGAAGCACTTGGAATACAAGGATGTAAAAAGGACCTTTAGAAATTCAACTTGTTGTTATAACTTGAATGCCTGAGCACTCCGTACTGTATAATGAATGAGTGGGCAAACATGCAATTGAACCGAATTTTATGCATGGATGTTATTTGTTTTTGGTTTCGTTCAACATGATTATGTGCTGATTAAGACGATTAATTTGCCCCCGTTTACACTATACCGGATTGCATCGGAGCGTAGCGATTTTCATACCGGATTCGGCTGCTGTTTACACTACGCCACAGTAATCCGGTACGCGACGCGGAGCAAAAATCACTCCGCCCTGGAGGTGATATGAAAAGTAATCCGGTATGTGCCGGAGCAGTGTAAACAGGCTAATCCGGTACGCTTCGGTTTTGGCGTGTATGTTTTAACATTGTCGCCTTTATTTGCTCGCTTTTACAATACTTTATAGCTGTTGTTTGTTTTGCCTTACAACCATTTAAGCCTGCAAAATTTATTTCGCTCGGCATACTACCCTCCCCAAACTCACATCATTCAGTACAAGCTCATTTATAATACACTGCTGGATTGTGTTACATTTCAAAGATATTGACCACAACCGAAGCACAGTAAGGACGTTACATATGCCAATGCAATTCAGTAAACATGTTATACTAAATGCTATATGATTTTCGCGAAACTGATATTGTAAAATACCCGGTAATTCAAAGAGGTTAAATATGCCTTTCATTGCCTTTCAGACAATCAGTTTCAAAAGTCTTGGGACAGATGCCACAAAACCTTTGAATTTCAACAAAACGACAATCCTCCCGCCCCCTGTTCAATGTTGTGTCCCATTTCTCGTCAGGTTTGATGTGTTTTGGTTGGAGCAACATTGACTGGGGGTGGGGGGAGGGGGACGGGAGCGGTATTGTGTGTAAAAAACTGTAATGATCCACTTACAATCTAAAACTACATGTGTCCCAACAACTTCTGAAAGTGATTGTAGATGTCGATCAAGTTAAGATTGGGTGAACTTCGTCTCTTAGAATGACCGAACTTCGTCTCTTAGAATGACCGTTGTGACGTGTTTTATGAAATTAAAAATACATGGTAATAAAAACGTTGTTTCATAGTAGTTCTTTCTGTTGCTTTATTCTTATTTGTGCGCTCCTTGTACTCCCATAAGGCCCAATTAGCCTTTCTCACGATGACGAATATCCGCCACTTTTGGGTGCATGGCATCTAATTCTCGTTAACGAATGCAGACAATTAAAACAACGTGAAAAGCAATTTTTCAAAATCTACTAACCTTTTACAAAACAAATTTACCATGATTCGTCCAAAAAGTTATACAAAGTCGCTGTTATGTGGACTTATCTCGCAGACTTCGGCTGAAAACCACCCAAAAATAGCCGCGTGAGAAAGGCAAATTGTCGTCTCACAAAATCTGGAAGACACGTGATAAGCCTGGATCAGGTCTTTCCTCCAGCAAGGAACGTAGTGGAAAGAGCCTGAGTACGAGGTTGTGTTAAGTTGTCAAACACCCAAGAAGCCCCGGGACGATGATGGTGGACAAAATGTTAAACAAAATATGGCTTCGGGAAAAGCTCATTTCGCAACAACACATTGCTCTCCCTTGTCAAAATGTTCTTGTTTTAAGAAACATTTACTTAAAACAAATTATATTTTCTTACTACAAGATTTAATTTATTATTATTTTATATATTTTTTTTACATTAACTAGAAGATAGAGAGATAGATAGATAGATAGATAGATAGATAGATAGATAGATAGATAAACTGTATTTAAGCACACTAGTCCCATTCAACACTAAGCTGATTTCCATGAGAGGTGTGCTGGCTAATTGTTACAATTTAAAAACTAATTTATTAATACATACAAACTATTATTATATAAATCTATTAAATATTCACTTAAATAAACTACTTAGTTTAATAAGGCCGAGGGCGAGGAGAAAAGGTTTTTACAAAACGAGTTGTAAGATATCGAATTTCGAATATTTTCTGGTATTCTATTCCATAATTTAGCCCCACTGTAACTGAAATTTTTTTTAAAAATTATGTCTGGGCCTTGGAATAAAAAGCCCAGTTGAAGAACCTCTTAAATTATAACTATTTTTCTAGTTCTAATATAATTTCTTACTTTAAGAAAAAGTCCACTAGAAAAATGTTTTATCATTTTCTTGAGATGAGATACATTTTTCTAAAAACAAGAAAATATTTTTTCTTATCCCAGACATTTTCATATATTCCCCGCTATTCCATTGTCAAGAAAATAATTCTTGAAAGTTTTTTTTTCTTTAAATAAGAACACGATATTTTCCTGTGTGCAGATTTTCAAGTATTAGAAAAAAGGATATACTTTTTAATCTAATTAACATAATATTTCTTTGTTCACCTATTAAAGACTAGAATGCACAAGCGTTAAGAATGGAGCAAGAAAGCCAAGAAGTGCAACAGTTAGAAGGCTACTTTAACAACTATCAAATTAAAAAAAAGATTGAAAGCTACGAGAAAGAATTAAAAAATGCAAGAGAACAAGAACATCAAGATCAAGAGACAATGGCATACTACGAGCAAACCTTCGAAATTGCAAAAGAACGAAAAAATCAAGATCAGGAGAGAACGGCATACCTTGGGTTAGGAGATGCTTGTAGATTGAACAATCAGTTTGAAACCGCAATAAAATACTACGAGCAAGCCTTGGAAATTGCAAAAGAACGAAAAGATCAACATCAGGAGACAAGGGCATACCTTCGGTCAGGAAAAGCTTATAGATCGGACAATCAGTTTCAAACGGCAATTAAATACTACGAGCAAGCCTTGACAATTGCAAAAGAACGAAAATATCAACATCAGGAGACAAGGGCATACCTTGGGTTAGGAGATGTTTATAGATTGAACAAGAAGTTTGAAACGGCAATTAAATACTACGAGCAAGCCTTGGCAATTGCAAAAGAACGA